TGCTTTACACACATGGTTAGCACTGACCACAACAATTGTATCTATTCTTGAGTTTGTAGTTGGAAGAGATTTGGGGATGGAGCTGTGGATATTGTAGTAGAAAAAGACTACATTTGCACAAAAGGAGAAAATCTGTTGACACCATGCATCCCACCTGGACACGTTCCTATGTCACCTGCTCTGGATGACCCTGCCTTGGCAGGGGGCTTGGACTGGATGTTCTCCAGAGGTCCCTTCCAACCCCAGTGACTCTGTGAACTCTGCTGTTTTCCAGCTGAGGGGGAAGAGCAGAGGGTTGAAGGGCTGATGTCTTTTCCATATCCCAGCTTCAAAGTTTTTGACTGGGAGCCACAGGAGAGCACAGCACAGATCTATCAGCAGACAGACAGACACATGAGCCTGTAACTCTCAACTAATTCCAGTTTCCATTTATGACAATCCTTCAGTCCGTGAGGAATGCACAAACACTGAGAGGCTCTCCTAGAGCAAAAGATCCCTCCACCTCCCCTGGCTATGGAGCATTGTTTGGGATCTGCCCTAATCCCAACATTGCACGGGCAGCCTTTGTGAGGTCCCAGGTTGTCACAGGAAGGCTTATGGCACAGGACAAAACATTGTGGCTGGAGGAGATGAAGTTTCTCAAGTAGAAACCAAAAGACAGGCAGGGAGCTCAACTCCCCCTCTCCTTTTTTTTTTTTTTTAATTAATCATTCCAGTCACTGCCTGTTTTGCAGAAACTTATTTTTGGCTGTGGCAGTGGGATTTGCCTCCTGCTGCTACGCCCAGGGGGGAAGAAACAGCCCAACTTCTCTGCAAATCTGCTCAAAACATTCAGTTGAAATCAGAGAGGGCTCCTCACTGCCTTTGGAAATAAAAACAGGGTGAAACCTCGCTGTTCCCTAGCTGCTGCATGTGCACACTGTCCCTAGACAGAAAGGTGCAACTGCTAACTTCCCAACTCCCACAAGAAGGCAGCTTGATCTGAAACAAGAAATACGACTTGTAAAAATAATCAGATTAAACAATCAGCGTCGCTTTTGCTGTCTTCTCAGTTCATCACTCCTCCTCTCTGAAGCAAACCTTCACGTTCCATAGAAGAGGCTCCCAAGCTCATGACCCCTTTCTTTAGACCATTCTCCAAGCTGATATTTGCCTTTTTCTAAGATAGCCAGAAACCCTGCCAAACTATTTTTTCCCTTCCTTTAGAACCCAGATTTCGGATGTTTTCTTTAAACTCCATTCAGCATCTGCCACAAACGACGATGCACAACCGGGGCGCTGCGAGGGAACCGCGGGGTGGGAGGG